GGGCGGACCCCTGCCCTGCCCCTGCTGGCCGTGAAACTCCGGGCAAGTTACTTCTCTGTGCGTCTCCTGCGTAAACTGGGAACAGACAGCCAGGCTGTTGTGGGACTAAAGGCGTCCAGCGGCCAATGTCAGCCATTCTCACTGCCCTGAGTACATCTGCAGGAGCCTGTGTGTGCACTCGCATCTGCACATCAGCGAAACACAGCCCTTGCCACTTCTAACAAATGACCCACCTGTGTGACGGCGACTTGCAAGCTCTAAACAGTAGACTCACGCCTTTCAGTCTATCCAAAGTCCATGTCCTCAAGCTTTCCGGTGGAAGAGCTTACAAAGAATGCAGTCGTGACACTTAGTCCTAACAGAGACACGATGCTTTTGAATCTAAAATCAAATGAGGGGGCTGGGGCTGTGGCGAACAGGTAAAGCTGCCGCCTGCAGTGCTGGCATCCCATACGGGCGCCGGTTTGAGACGTGGCTGCTCCACTTCCGACCCAGCTCTCTGCTATGGCCTGGGAAAGCAGCAGAAGATGGCCCAGGTGCTTGGGCCCCTGTACCCAAGTGGGAAACCCAAAGAAGCTCCTGGCTTCAGATCGGGGCAGTGCCAGCCATTGTCGCCATTTGGGGAGTGAATCAGTAAATGGAAGATTTTTCTCTCTGTCTTTACCTCTAACTCTGCTTTTCAAATAAATAAATATTAAAAAATAAAATAAAATGTTCTTTTTATTAGACATTCTCCTACCTTTCAACAGTCTTCAAGCTTTCTTCGTGCTATCACTTTCACTCTTTTTGCCAAAATTTTTATTTATTTGAAAGGCAGAGACAGAGACACAGAGTGATCTCCCTTTAGCTCGTTCACTCCCCAAATGCCTGCAACAGGAGTAGCCCGATCTCATTCTGGGTCTCCCATGTGGATAGCGGGGACCCAAGAACTTGATCCTGCACGGGCTACCAGGGTGTACATTAGATGGAAGCTAAGAGCCAGGACTAGGACTGGGTACTCCAACAGGGGGTGGGCACCCCAAACGGTTTTTTTTTTTTTTTTTTTTTTTTTTTGACAGGCAGAGTGGACAGTGAGAGAGAGAGAGAGAAAGGTCTTCCTTTGCCGTTGGTTCACCCTCCAATGGCCACCGTGGCTGGCGCAGTGCGGCCGGCGCACCGCGCTGATCCGATGGCAGGAGCCAGATACTTCTCCTGGTCTCCCATGGGGTGCAGGGCCCAAGCACTTGGGCCATCCTCCACTGCACTCCGGGCCACAGCAGAGAGCTGGCCTGGAAGAGGGGCAACTGGGACAGAATCTGGCACCCAGACCGGGACTAGAACCTGGTGTGCCGGCGCTGTAAGGCAGAGGATTAGCCTAGTGAGCCGTGGGGCAGTCCCAATCATTCTTTTAGTATTGCACCCGGGATCTGCTATGAGTCTTTTGGTTAATCCTCCGCCTGTGGCGCCGGCATCCCATATGGATGCCGGGTTCTAGTCCCGGTTGCTCCTCTTCCAGTCCAGCTCTCTGCTGTGGCCTGGGAAGGCAGTGGAGGATGGCCCAAGTGCTTGGGCCCTGCACCTGCGTGGGAGACCAGGAGGAAGCACCTGGCTCCTGGCTTCGGATCGGCACAGGGCCTGCCGTAGTGGCCATTTGGGGGGGTGAACCAACGGAAGGAAGACCTTTCTCTCTGTCAAAAAAAAAAAAAGTGTCGCACCCAACACCCACGCCACTTGCCTTCCTTTTTGAGGACTGACTCACACCACCCTCTCACGTCCCTGGGACTTCCGGGCTGTCCTATGTCCCACTGCCAGCATGTGCAGTCTGCAGGGGGCTCGCTGATTCCGAGCAAGGTAGTCTGGTGCATACGGGGCATGTGGGGTGGAGCACCAACAACGTCTCGCCTCGTGAGGCTCTGGGTACAGCTACCCTTAGGATGGCCTGGTTCTTGTCTCGGGGATAAGGACCCTGGAGGAAGACGGAGGACAGGATTCTGGCCCAGCTACTTTCAAGCTGTTTCACCTTGCACAAGTTTCCCTAATTTCTCTGTCCATTTTCACCATCATGGAACTACATTTTCCTTTAAAGCAGAATTCTTAGCAAGAGCATTATGGGAGAGGTGACGGGAGCGCCTTCAGTCCAGTTTGCCGTGCACTGGCCAGCACCCTGCACGTCTCTCCTTCTCTGCCCTAACTGAGCACACTACGCGTCTGACCTGCTGCCTGCACGGACCTGAGTCCTGTCTGGCTTCATGCTGCTCTGTTACTGCTTCTGCGGTCCCTCCTGCCGTTTCACCTAGAAGACGACTTTCTGTCCACGGGCCACAGGAGGAACGAGTCCAGAGGACGAAGTCTCTGTGCGTCCAGTGGTTTCCAGATTCATGCTTAAGGAACCCTTTGTTCAAATGATATCCCTCCTGGAATCCTGATATAAGCAAAACAGAGAAAAGAAGTCATTGTATTATCATTTTTAAATTTTATAACTTCACACTATAATTTATAACAACCATGAAAATGAAATTCAGAACCACACGCGTCAATGACACAGATCAGAAATGTGGGGTTAAAAAAGGAAGTTGCAAATTTGTCAACCTCGGCATTCAATTCTGACAAAGACATGGAGAGAAAGAGACAGAGAGACGAAGATCTTCAATTCACTGGTTCACTGCCCAGATGCCCGCAACAGCCTGTGCTGGGCCAGGCTACACTGAAGCCAGGAGCCAGATCTCCATCTGGGTCTCCCACGTGGGTGACAGGAACCCTGCTTGAGCCACCACCTGCCGCCTTCCCAGGTGCATTAGCAGGAAGCTGGATCAGTCAGTGCCAGGACTTGAACCGGCACTCTTGTGGGAAGTGGGTGTCCCAAGCTGTGGCTTAACCCACTGCACCACGTCTGTCGACTGCCTTTTGTTTTGATTAGACAGAATATAGTTCTGACTCATGAAGAAAATAATAAATATCTTAACCACTGACGGTGACCCTCACCATCAAATGTGGGGCAAGGCACCCCTAAAAACTACTGATGGCCCGCGATCACGTGTGACCCGCCACACTGCACCTGTTATCCGACAGCTGACTCCTCAACGAGCTCTGCTCAGAATACGCACCTGAGCGCCGTCTGGCCTCAGGTCACCACACACGTGCAAGTGATAAACCTGTACAATGCTGCATGACAGAAAGCATTCACGGGGTGAATATAAACAGCCACGCAGACAACCTCCTTCCTGTGCACGACACATTTAGGAGACCTGAGGACAAGGGTTTATGTTAAGAACAGCACAGAAGAGCGATCTGCAGCACCAGGCGGGGTTGGTGAACGTCTGTCCCTGGCGTATGTGAACTGCTCTACCTTCACTCTGTTCACTGCCAGGTGCCCCTTCCCAGTGCCCTGGGATTCAGGCCAGGTGCTGCCTGCAGATGGGCCTTCTCCCCTTCCGTTGTCAGTGTGATAACTGCCACAGGCCAGGGGCTGCGCCGGCCTCTCACGGGCCTGACACCATCTTTCTCAAGGGCTCCTCTCTGCACCAGCCATAATGGAGGCTCCAGACCTAGGACACAAGACGAGCCCCAGCTCCCCAAACGCTGACTTGAGCCAGGAGGCACTGGGGGCTTTAATCAAGGGTTCTTTACCCGGTGCTGGGCCTCCAAGGCTCTCTTCTCTGCATTTGACACCAGCCATGTCTCCAACATCTGGGCAGTATGGGGCATCACGGCTCAAATTCTTCCTCCCCTGGTTCTGGAGGGTCCCTGACCGAGAACATTCTCAGCCTTTTGTATTTCATGTACGGCAGGGCAGGCTGAAGAGCCTCATCCAACGCCTGTGCCAAGAGAGGCGCCCCGCTTCTGGGGTCATGTCCTCGTCCACAGCAAGGGGGTCATTTCCATACCCAAGAGCTCTGGTCCGCTCACCCACGGTCACATCCTTCTCTCCAGAAACTCATTTAGTCTGCTTGAAGATTCACTGTCTGGGGGCGGGGCTGCAGCATATCAGGTTAAGCCACTGCCTACCACCGGTTCTGGTCGCGGCGGCTCCACTTCTGATCCGGCTCCCTGCTAACGTGCCTGGGAAGGCAGCGGAGGATGGCCCACGCACTTGGGTCCCCGCACCCACTTGGGAGACCCGGATGAAGCTCCCAGCTCCTGGCCCCGGCCTGTGCCAGCCTTGGTTGTTGCGGCCATTTAGGGAGTGAACCAGCTGATGGGTGGAACATCTCTCTTCTTGTCTCTCCATCTCTCGCTGTAACTCTGACTTTCAAATAAATAAGTAAATCCTTATAAAAATCACTTTCAAGTAAATAAGTTTTTCTAAAACAATTCTGGGCCGGGGCTTCCTCCCAGCATGCCCACTGCGGCTCCCTCCCCGTCCTCAGGCCTCCCGAGCACCCTCCCAAGCAGCCTGTGCCCCGAGGGGTCCGGCGCAGCCGGCAGCGCTCTGCAGGGCCCGCGCCCACCCCGCACCAGTCTCCCAGGAGCCTCGCCATGGTGCCCGAGATACGACTGAAGCTCCAATGGGCTCGGGGCGCAGATGTGGCCCAGGCGGGTCTCGGCGACGTGCGCAGGTCCAGCAGCCACGGTCTCCTCTCCGCCTCTGGCGTCCCCAGCAGACTCACCGTGGACCCAGAGCTCTGGTCTGCGTCCGTGTGCCGAGGGCCAGGCTGGACAGCCGGAGGCCGCGCGAGGCGGCGATCGATGGCGGACCGCGGCGTTCCTGCGGCGCACGAGGAGAGATCGATGGGGCGAGAAGGCGACGGGGCTCCAGGGCCGAGAATGCCAACCGCAAAGGCCGCCAAGCCCGACGGAGGCCGACGCCGGGGGCCGGGCCGCAGCCTCGGCTCGGGTCCCACTTCGGCCGTCTGGAGCTCGCTCGCGCCGGCAGGTGAGCCGGCCGTCGGGGCTCCCTGACGTCACCAGGGGGCAGGCCCTGCGGGGCGGGGCGCGAGCGCTTCCGGCTCGAGCCGGAAGCCCCGACTGCGGCGGCATCCGGGACGGCGGGCGGGCGGGCCGCTCGGGACAGGAAGGTGAGACCGGGGGGCTGGTCGCCTTTGCTGGCAGGTTCGGCCGGCGGGCGCGGGGCTGTCGCGCTGCACGGCGGCGAGGCCCGGGCCCGGCGCAGCCCTGCCTGCGGCGCGGCAGGGGCGGGAGCCTCCCCGCCGGGCCGGGGCTCCCGCGGCGGCGCCAGGGGCCGCGTGACCGCTGTGCCCACGCCGCGCTTACACCGAGTTGTGCTTCGGGCTGGCGGCGCTCGCCTTCTCCGAGCGGGCGGCCCAGGGATTTCTGCGGCGGCTGCCTCGGAGATGCCGAAGCCGGCCGAGTCCTCAGAACTGAGTGGTTCTCTGGCTCCAGGAAGATTCCCGGGACCACTGTAAGTGTTGACGGGGCGCGGCGCCGGCCCGAGTAGAGCCTGGACAAGCGCAGTGTCCCGGAGGAGGCTAGCTTAAGTGCAGTTTCGAAGGGCAGGTATACCGATTTATTTAAGTGGGATCTGATGACCTCTGTCTTGTGGGAGTCACGTAAAAAGCAGAACTCGATGTGTCCTGCAACCATGTTCCTTGCTTGCCTGTAACTTGCATGAAACCACCTGTAAGCCGCCGCCACCTCTTACTAAATGTACGCGAACTCTTACAGTGTTAGGTGCGGCTATTCTAGGACTCTGGAAGGCAATCAGATAATGCGGAGTAGCTGCCGTCACAGCTCGGCCAGCGCTGACTGCTTGTTTGTTTGGTTTGAAGGCACAGAGCATGGAGAATGATGAACTTCCGCCAGCGGATGGGGTGGATTGGAGTGGGGCTGTACCTGCTGGCGAGCGCGGCGGCCTTCCACTACGTCTTTGAGATCAACGAGACGTACAACAGGCTGGCCCTGGAGCACACTCAGCAGCACCCCGAGGAGCCCCTGCAAGGGACCACATGGACACATTCCTTGAAAGCGCGGTTGCTCTCGCTGCCCTTTTGGTTGTGGACGGTTATTTTCCTGGTCCCCTACTTACAGATGTTTTTGTTCCTGTACTCCTGCACAAGAGCCGACCCCAAGACGGTGGGCTACTGCATCATCCCCATATGCCTGGCAGTGATCTGCAATCGCCACCAGGCGTTTGTCAAGGCGTCTAATCAGATCAGCAGACTGCAACTGATCGACACGTAGTCGCTGTCCTTGTTCCGGAACTGCCGGTACTTCATGGAGTCTGACCGCAGGCTGCAGTTCTCGCAGATCTCAGGAAGTTGTGGCGGGCAGCGGGTTTTTAAGGAAATGTGACTGGAGGGCTGTATCTGAGTAATAATGGCTTTTTAGGTAAAGCCGGAGACACAGTACAACAAAATCATGTTGACGACTTCAGATTTTTGGAGGTGAAATTGTGTCTGTTATTTGCATTCTTTAGAAACTTGAATAAGCACCTGAGCTTATATTTCTATTCTGCTGTACAACATAGTGATGATTCAGAAAATGTTCCTTTAGGGGAAAAAATGAATATAAACGTTTCCATTGTGTTACGTGTATAAAAGGTCCAAACATGGTCATAAAATTTAAATTTTATACAACTACTTGGCTTGCTTTACAATTTCTCAAACTTAAAAAAACAGTTTGTCCTGTTGTAGCTAGGCCAACTGTTTATGCTATCAGTAGGAAACACTCACATAAAATTACTGAGGTGACGGCTGTCTTGGTGAGCACAGTTTGTTCTTGGTAACGGCTAGCTAAATCATTAATGCTGTCAGTTTAAAAAACTCCTTGGGAAGGGACTCAGTGAAAGGAAGACGTTAACTTATATCGAGGCCAAGAGGAGGAGGTTGATGAGAATACTGCCTGAACTGCTTTCCCCTTGCAGTACTGCTCCCAGGTGATTCTGTCCACGTCCTTCCTTACCAGAGCCTGTGTCCCTCTAGATACCGTGCGTGTCCTCGTCGGGCAGCTTCTCCATTCTGGAGTAAGGTCTGGTCTTTTAGGCAATCGGTAAATCGCGTGGAGATGTCATCTGTGTACCTCCGCCTTGGCATTTGTATTACCTTGTGTGTAGTGCCAGGGTACCAAGGCAAATAACCACAGTGGAAATTACTAGGCATTTTTATCTCCTGGGAGAATCAAGATACACTTTTATTAAGTAGTTACATCATTAATATCAGGAAACATTTGATACAGCTTTAATCCCCGCCCCCCCTTTTTTTTGGACAGGCAGAGTGGACAGTGAGAGAGACAGACAGAAAGGTCTTCCTTCTGCTGGTTCACCCCCCAAATGGCTGCTACGGCTGGCGCACTGCGGCCGGCATGCTGCGCTGATCCGAAGCCAGGAGCCAGGCACTTCCTTCTGGTCTCCTATGCGGGTGCAGGGCCCAAGCACTTGGGCCATCCTCCACTGCACTCCCGGGCCACAGCAGAGAGCTGGCCTGGAAGAGGGGCAACCAGGACTAGAACCTGGGGTGCAGGCGCCACAGGCGGAGGATTAGCCAAGTGAGCTGCAGCGCCGGCCTAATCCCTGTTCTAAGAATTAACTCGTGTAGTTCTCATGACTCCATGAAACAATCAGGCAGATTTCGACAGATAAGGAAACTGAGGTAGAGGTGTTAAGCAGTCTGCCAAAGGTCACCCAACTAATAGCAGGCACCTCGATGCCACGACTCCTAACCACTGAGCTGTAGGCTTCTCACATCAGCACAGGACACTGCTGGCCTGGTCATGCCAAAGAATGGAAACGGCAATATTACCGAGAAAGGTTTTTCTCCATTTGTAGAACTGACTGAAAGTTTCTTAGCAGCTTCACCTTTTTGCTACACCTGATTTGACCAGAAGGGAAGGCTGAGCATTCTATAGCAAACTTAAAGAGATCAGGCAGGTGCCTTATAGTTCACAAACAGCAGGATCAAGCCTTCTCCAGTTAAATATCATTTGCCTCCCTTAATTTTCTTTATTATTACTTTTAAATTTATTTGACAGAGTTAGAGACAGACAGAAAGGTCTTCCTTTGTTGGTTCACTCCCCAAATGGCCACTACGGACGGCACTGCGCCGATCCAAAGCCAGGAGCCAGGTGCCTCTTCCTGGTCTCCCATGCGGGTGCAGGGCCCTAGCACTTGGGCCATCCTCCACTGCCTTCCCAGGCCACAGCAGAGAGCTGGACTGGAAGAGGAGCAGCCGGGACTAGAACCCGGGACCCACATGGGATGCCGGCTCCGCAGGCAGAGGATTAACCAAGTGAGCCACGACGCCGGCCTTGCCTCTCTTATTTTCTCCAAAGATCTGGTTATGATCTGCCAGACAGGCAGCAGGCGCCAGACATGCACTTCTCTGAGGGTCGGATGACAGATCAGTTGCATCTTTTGAGTACTTAGTACGCATGCTGCAGGTGACTTTAGAGTGAGTTACATTCGTTCTTCATGGTAGTGGTATGAGGCACACATTGTACTGATACAGGTGCCACTTTCCAGACAAGAAAACCTGAAGCAAATAGGAATTATCTGTCCATGGTCACACAGCAAGTAAGTGGATCTGAACCTAGGATGTCTGGCTTTAGAGCGCCAGCTCTTTATCATTCCACTCTACTGCTGCTGCTTTTTTTTTTTTTTTTACAGGCAGAGTGGACAGAGAGAGAGAGAAAGGTCTTTCTGGCACGCTGCGGCCGGTGCACCGCGCTGATCCGATGGCAGGAGCCAGATGCTTCTCCTGGTCTCCCATAGGGTGCAGGGCCCAAGCACTTGGGCCATCCTCCTCTGCACTTCCCGGCCACAGCAGAGAGCTGGCCTGGAAGAGGGGCAAGCGGGACAGAATCTGGCGCCCCGACCGGGACTAGAACCCGGTGTGCCGGCGCCGCAAGGCGGAGGATTAGCTTATTGAGCCACAGCGCCGGCCTCTACTGCTTCTTTAAAAAAAGGATGATTTGAGGAAAATCACTGGGCAGTTTCTAATTTCACAGCCTTGAGGCAGTGATAATCTGGAAACGATTGAAGAAAATTATTTCAATTATTTTTATGTATTTTATAAATGCTTGATGTAATACAAGGTTTGGTGAACTTGTCCGTTAGGAAAGAGTAATTTCTTTTTCCTTAATAGGTAATAAGTAACACAGGTACATCTTCATGGTAAGCAGATCAGATAAGGCCATCAGAACCCCACCTCCCCACCCCTCCCCTCCAGTTCTTTATGCAGTATGTAGCACATTTTTGTGCACCAAAATAGCCCCCCTGTATTCTGAACACTAGAACTTACTCTGATTTGAGCAATTTTTTATTGCAGTAGGTTTTATTTTTATACCTCAAATTTAGGATTTTGGAATTTGGTTAAGTAAATGTTCAGCCCATTTCTATCTTTCAAAATCATATTGCTTCAATAGTAGAACACTAAAATAGAGTAGGATTAGTGTATTATTCCCAAATTTAATAACCAAATTTCAGATTATCTAAGGCTAGTCTTTTTTGATTATTTAGGAATTACTTATCCAAGTTGTACATTATCCCTAGTTTCTTTATGGTTATTTAATAACTAGTTCAAAACATTCTTTTGACAAAGAGGAAAAGGAGAAATACATATTTTTCTAATATTTCAGCTCTTATTTTTTTTAAAGATTTATTTTATTTATTTGAGAGGTTGAGTTACAGACAGTGAGAGGGAGAGACAGAGAAAGGTCTTCCTTCCGTTGGTTCACTCCCCAAATGGCCACAAAGGCCGCAGCTGCGCCGATCCGAAGCCAGGAGCTTCTTCCAAGTCTCCCATGTGGGTGCAGGGGCCCAAGGAATTGGGCCATCCTCTACTGCTTTCCCAGCCCACAGCAGAGAGCTGGATTGGAAGAGGAGCAGCTGGGACTAGAACCGGCGCCCATGTGAGATGCCAGTGCTGCAGGCGGAGGATTAACCTACTGCGCCACAGCACTGGCCCCTCTTATTTATTTTACTTAAGATTTATTTATTTGAAAGGGAGCGCTACAAAGAGGCAGAGAGAGGTCTTCCATCCACTGGTTTACTTCCCAAATGGCCACAATGGCTGGAGCTGGGCCCATCTGAAGCCAGGAACCTGGAGCTTCCTCCAGGTCTCCCATGTGGGTGCAGGGGCCCAAGGACCTGCGCCATCTTCTGCTGCTTTCCCAGGCATACCAACAACGAGCTGGATCAGAAGCTGGGACTCCAACCGGCGCCCATATGGTAGGCTGCAGGTGGCGGCTTTACCTTCTATGCCACAGTGCCAGCCCCATGGCTCAGCTCTTAGATGAGGAAGATAATGGAGAGGAAGCTTGTGTATAACACAAGGTGGTCATTTATTTCATATTCACATCACAATACAAGAAGTGGTGAACATAGAATTATATAGCAAGATAAATGGCAAATGTAAAAATCCTTAACTGGTAAATATTTGCTTCCAGAGATAAGGGAGCTATAGCCACAATGATTTGATAATTCACTTTATTTGAAACTGCACCTGAAGTGAAGTAACCTTGTTAACTGTTTTTCACTGAAACATGCCAGATATTTCTTCAGAGGTCCCAATATAGGGGTGGTTAAGCCACCGTTTGACCTCATGTCTGAGACATGGGTTCAGATCCCAGCTTTGCTCTCCATTCTGGCTTCCTATTCAGGCACACCCTGGAGGGAGCAGCGTTGGATCTCTGCCACCTGTGTAGGGGACCTGCACTGAATTCCTGGCTTCTGACTTTGGCTTGGCCCAGCCTTGGCTGTTGTGGGCATTTGGGTGGTGAGGCAGTGGATAGGAGATTTCTGTTTCTCTCCCCTTGACTCTGCCTTTTAAATAATTTGCCAATATAGGGACCAGATAACTACAGAAACATCTGCTTCATGGAACTTCAGTCACCACATAAAGTTTCTAGTTTGAAAGACGCTAACAATTTTAAAATAAAAATGTGATTCTCTTAGGTTGAGAATTTGACTTTGCTCCAGAAGTTTGACAAATAACAAAAATTTTCTTTGAGGAAGTTAAGTCATAACGTGCTCCTATGTGAGGAACTGCCCCATAAAGTAAACTGGTGTATTTGTTCATCGTGGTAGTGTTTAGTCTTTTTTGTTATGATTATCTAGTGTTGATGTCCTGGGTGGACTTGGCAGTCTCAGTCTAACAGTGGTACTACATACTGTATGGCTCGTTTTTCCATCAAGTAGGTACCTTTGCTTTGTAAATTCCTCAACATGCAAGCTGCATTTAACTTGGGACCATAGCTTGCATTTATGTTTTGATATAAGGCAAAGAATGAGACCTGAACTGTGGCTATGTTAGGCAGGAAGTCAGATATGAGCTTATGTGTGTGTGACAAAGGCCTAAGGAGACATCTCAAAGTCATCCCGATAACCTTCCAGGGGCAGCCCAGTATCTGCACTTGAAACATCCTGCCCTGCCCTTTCTACCCAATAACCTGCCAGGTGGGGGCCCCTGCCTCTTCTGCCTGATAAACTTCCAGGTACAGCCCAGTATCTGTACTTCAAACATCCTGCCCGGGATCCTGATCTTCCGGGGGTCCCCCTCACCCTTCTTCTAACCGGGGCGGCTCCAGCCAGGCTTCCCCCTAGCTGATAACTTCAGGGGGAAAACTCAGAAAGGAATTTTTA